TCCCACTTACTGGCCTGTCCTGCACTGAGGAGAATGAATTTGGACTCAGTAACACTCCTATCTACCCAGCAAGCTGGGCACTGGAAATGAGGACAGCTCTCCCACACCCAGGGACCTACTGTGAGCCCTTGATGGTTCCCCTAGGGTGGGGTGTGGTTTAATCAGGCGGGATGGGGACTATGCACCAACACTCAGGCAGTATGCTCCCTCTGGGGCTCTGATTTTATACCTCCCGCTCCCCACCAGCTCAAAACCTGGGATAGTGGAGCTAAGGCAGAGATCTTGCCTGCCTGTTTCCCAGCGTGTAAAAGGGGAATATGTACTCTTCCCAAGGTAGTTCTGAGCGACAACACCCTCGGGTGCTTGGTTCCCAGAGCAACAGGAAACACTTCTCCGCGTGGGGGCAACGGACGTGATCCCATAGGGGTTCTGCAGAGGCCTCGACTGAAGGGCTGGACCAGGGAGATAAAATTTGAGCTGCGGGCCTTGAAGTGTTAGAGAAGGGTGCAGAGGCAGGACTGCTGCCTGTTTTGGGGTGCCGCCGGAGGTAAAGCTTATTCTCTCCATCTCTGCTACTCCCCTCCACTCTCCAGATCCCTCCGTTCTCTCTGCACCTCCTGTCCATCTACCTCCCTCCACTTTTCCCCTCCTCCCTTCCTCCTCCCATTTTCTCCCTCCCTCACTTCCCCAGCTTCTCTCGCAGAAACCAGAGGGTCGCTGGCACGACTGTGCATGCGTCGTCGGTGCCAGCTGGACCGCGGGTTGGAAGCTCCAGCTCAGAGCCGGGGATCGGCCCCAAAGGCTCCTCAGTTCTGTGGCCCGTTAGGCCTTTGGCTTCTGCCCGGGGCCGGGACCTCCGGCTGTGGAAGTGCAAGGTAGGGGCTCCCGGGAAATGTTCAGTCTGCTGGGGGAGGGTGGTCCGCGTGTCAGAGCCCGCGAGGGCGTGAATCAACGTGTGTTCAGCTGAATTGCTCGGGCCAGGCCCCTCTGCCCCAGCGCCTCGGTCACACCTGTCCAGGGCCAGGTGTGCACCTGCCGCCTCTCGCCCCAGCCGGGCTCCCCTCAGTCCGCGGCTGGCGTCCCCTTCCCCTCTTCCGCCTGCGAGAACTCTCCTCCCGGGCTTCCTCTCCTCGGCCGCCGACCCGTCCCCACACCTGTGCGGGCTGTGTCCCGCGCGGGCGGGGTCTGCGGACCCGGACGGGGGCGGGCGGCTGGGGCTGGCCTCCGAGCCGGGCTGCCGGACGCGTCCCCCACCCAGCTCTCCCTGCCCCACGACCCCGGGGCTGCCCTCCTCTCCCTTTCCCGCTCCCTGCGGACAAGGTCAGTGGCGTGGGCGCTGCTCCCTGGGCTGAGAGCCTCAGGTTGTAAATACCAGCCTCTCCTGGTGGAGTTGGCAAAAGGGAGCGTCAGTGCTAAGGGAGCTTCCGTCTCCTCCCTCAGTGTTTCTGCCCCAGGTAATTTCCTTGAACAATTTCAGGTGTTATGATGGTGGTGCTTGATGATGTCACGTGTTTTTATAGTGCGAGGGATTATAGTGGTGAAAGCAGGGCTTGGCTCAGCTAAAAATGAGCTGAAGGCATGAGGCTGTGACATCCTCCAGGCTTCCCTCTCCAAGGGTGAAACGTGTGACAGTAGATTTTAGAAAGATAGTTACAGTCCCTAACTAGTCCAGCCCAGCTAGTGTGTGTTAACAGGAACAGCACCACCAGAGGCGTTGGAGTCCCAGGGACATTGCAGTCCTAAAGAGCTCCTGGCACAGTTTGGTTTGTTTTGGCTTTTTGTTTTTCTTAAATTGTGCAGCAGACTAGTTGTATAGAGGGGAAAATAATTGTCAAGAAATATTTTTTTTCATATAACAGCTTTATTGTGATTTTGTTCACACACCATGAAGTCCATCCATTTAAATGGTACAATTCAGCAGCTTTTAGCATATTCACAGTGCTGCAACCATTATTATTCCAGAACGTTTTTTATCACTTCAGAAAGAACAGTGGAAATCAATGACCTATCCACCCTTCTCCAGTGGTGTTTCTAAAGAAGTTTCTTGGCTGTTCCTGACCATAAATTAACTCGTTACATTCCATGAAAAATCTGGTAGGAATTCTAATAAGAATTACATTGAACCTGTCTATAAAAACAGGAATAATTAATGTCTTTATGGCATAAACTTCTTCTACCATTGAATATATCTGAGACCCTAAATTTTCATCTGTCCAGAGCCTGGCCCATGGGAAGTCCTCACAAATTGTTGGGCTTGTGAATGATGAGATTCTATACATTCTTAGTTGCAACTGTAGCTTTTCACAGAAGAGAAAAGTAACCTCAGTGAAGCCAAGTGACACTCTGATGGTCAGAAAGGGTGACAGTCAGTGCTGGAGTGATCCAGTGGACTTGGTGTTTGCCACCAGAATTCTCCACCACCTACAGCTAAGGGGATTACAGTGTTCTTTTATTTTTTTAATGACTTGCTTTTATTTTTCTAATTATTTTTTATTGAAGTGTAGTTAACTTACAATGTTAGTTTCAGGTGTACAGGAGAGATTCAGTTATAAACAGATGCATATGTATATACATAAGTTTTAGATTGTTTTTAGTACAACTCATTACAAGAACTTGAATATAGTTCCCTGTGCTATATAGCAGGTCCTTGTCATTTATTTTATATTTATTAATGTGTATCTGTTAATCCCCCCTTTCCTGCCTGCTAAACACAGTTTGTTTCTATGTCCATGAGTCCATTTCTAGCAGCATCGTTTTTCCTAGTTAATATATGCTGCTTGGTGGCTTTCAGTTTCAGTAATTCCATCTTATCTGTGGGCGTTTTACTTCTGGTGGGCCTGTATGTGGTTTTCACACGTGGTAACAGAGATCTGTATTTGGGAGAACTCCAGGCCTCGTGTAGTCCCTGGTACAGAGCACCCACTGAGCTGATGCTTGAACTGGGAAAAAAACACAGTAAATGTTAGAATTTCCACTATGATTGAGACTTCAAAGTTTCTATAACCTCTCTAGCCCACCTTAATTTTGGCTGCACCCATACTGGGTAAGTTGATGGAACTCCATGTTATGGTGATGTAGACACAGGGCGTTGTATGCTTCTTCTCTTTCCTTTTTCTAACACTCATTCTCCTGGGCCTCCCAGATCTTCCCACAGTGGTGCCCAGGGCTGGCTTGGTGCTGCACTCAGGCAATATTTGTTAATAAGGCCCTTTCCTCATCTCTTCTCAGCGTCCGTTTCCTT